TTTCATTTAATGCTCTGTTGTAATAGAAAGTAGCTTTTAAATGGGATGCTCAAGACTATAAAAGAGAAAATTAAATAAAACTATTTTTTACATATAGTGGTCTACACAATGAAACAAATTCAGTAAGTGTAGCCATTATTGTTTTCAATTGCTGTTATACTTGAATAAAAACTGCAACCCTGCATCAGTCCTATAATGAAAGTAGTATGATGTGCAGAGATATTAAAAAGGTGATTGAGTTACTCACTGTGCCCATAAAGGTAGGTATTGTGAAAATAATACAATATTACTGCATATTGTGTCATCTAAGAGACCCAAAGCCCTCACATAAGTCTTTGCCTTTCATTTGTCCTTCCAAGCTTGGTGCTGCCATGCATCTATAAAATGAAAGAAAGAATGAATACTGAAGAAAATCAATTTATGAAAAAAGACTTATTTGCAATTACTGTTTGGGGCATGGTTCCTAGGGTTCTTTGCTGGAATCCTCCATAATATCAACTTTGTCTTTTAACAAATTCAGGCAGTTGTGATAGAGACAATAAGCCTGAAAAAGAAAATAGTTCTAGAATGAAAGTTTAGGAGTTGAGTAAAAATCATCTTCTGTTGAGTTCTTTGTGATCTTAGGGAAGTTGATTTCAACCTCAGTTTATGCACCTGTGAAATGGGTTTTTACTGTGAAACTCACTAGGATGGGGATTTATTCCTGCTTGTGAAGTGGTTTGATGGTCTCTGCCATATAATGCATGCCAAGTGGCAGGGTGTTGTGCTCTGGCTAGAAAGTAGAATAAAGAAACGTGGTACAGATCTCAGTAAAATTTACAACTTAAGAAATTATCTTCCTATGCTGGAAGTATTTCCTTCCTCCCTCCCTCACAGACAATTGTATACAACACAAAAAAAAATGTTTGTGTCTTATTATTCTGTCAGGCATTATTGAACTATAAAGAAAAGATCTTGTCATCTCACACTTCTTAACAAATTATGAAAGAAAAATATGACTAAAACTTGTTCAGACTATCAAGTTCCTGCCAAACTGAAACTAATGAATTACCCTGGCACTGGTAATTAGCCAAAACTAGATAATATGAAGTGTATAAATAGTGCTAGAGACCATGTTGCCAAATACATATATTTATACCCCTGAAAGTAGTTATTGTTTTATTCCCAAGAAGTTTTTAATTAAATTCTTTCCAGCAGAGTAGTATGACACTCCTGTTTATTATTTCAATTCTTACTTTAACAACCTAGATATAAATTGAATGTGATTCATGCCTACTGGTTATTGATTTTGATATACATACTAGACAGAATGAGCTTGGTGTCTGAGAAATAACTGACACCACAAGTGGGATGATGCTGTTGTGTGGGTTGAGTAAAAAGAAGAAACTGTTTAGTCCCTAGTGAGTGCTCCTGGCCCAATGGGGTCTGAGTATTGCAGTTCATGTACTCTGATCTCAAGTTTTTCCTCTTCTACCACTTTTTTTTTTTTTCTTTTTAAACTGGGAATGAACCCGTAGGTAGACATAGTCACATTATCAAACTCCTTCACTCTTCTGCTATAGGGTGCTGTATTCATGAGAAGGGTAATTTTGTTCTTGGCACTGCCATCTAGGCTAGTCAGGTACTATAGTGACTGAAATAAAATGTAACAAAAGCTGATATACCATGCCAGTCGTCCAGCTAAGAAACTCTTTAACATATGTCTTACTGTGTACTCCTCACTGAATATGTGAAAAATGGGAAACATTTAAAAGATGTTTATGACTGAATATACATTTCTTATGTAAATGTTGTCAATATCAAAATGTTTACATTAGATTAGCTAAAAAAAAGAAAAAGGATTAATTGAGATTTATGCACAGGATATGTCCATGTTAGAGAAACATTTCTTTTGTTAAGAGACAATTTGCATTCATGAGAACTGAAAATTAAGAAGGAGTAAGATTTGTTTCTCTGTAGACTTACTAATTAGTGTTGGTTTAGCTCTCCCAAATGGTAGGATGTGTGAGTATTTAAAATGTTAATGCAGACAAATTTTGAGACAAATTACAATTTGGTATTCATCCCTGTATATAGCTTCAGACTTTTCTGTCATATCCTAATGACATGTAGAATTCCTTGATTCTCAAATGCTAAATTTTAAGTTTTATCAGAGGACCAATAACAAAATCCATTTATCTGCAGTAAAGGAGATTTTACAAGAAGCAGTTAATGACAAATAGCACCTAGAGTTGGTTGTTTTGTTGTTGTTTTGTTTGTTTTTTTAATAGCAGGTGAAGAATATAGGAACTTATGGGAACCAACGTACTTTTAGAAGTGCCCTGTAGAATTCTCATGGCCACCGAGTAGACTTCTTTACTTGGTGCTTTAAGAAGGCTAAAATTATGCAAACTATGTGCTTTGGTGTTTTTCAGTATTTTTACAGTGAAATTTATAGAGCCACTGAAATGCCAATTTGTAGCAATCTTTCCCACAGAGAATGCCTATTGTTGGATCTCATGCCTTCAACAAAAATTGCAGGAGAACTGAATACTTAATACAAACATCTTTCATACAAGTTGGTACATAATCATTGTGTTTGCATATGGCTAGATTTTTTTCCCAAAACCAGTTTCAACAGGTGCCTTAATTCTGTTCTGTTGTAAAAATTCCTTTCTCTCATTTGAATGTTTTTGTTAGTGCAGATTCTTTCTGGCTAAGCACAGAGAAAAATCTTTGCTGTTTTCCTTTTCAAACAATATTTTCCTACATTAAAAAGCCACAAAAGGTCACAACTTTTCTTTCCTCTGGTTATACAGTGCATTTAAAGAAAAGAAATATAAAAATCAGGTGACTACCTAGTGAATGCCAAGAAATTCAGCTACACAATCTGAATTCTTCTCAGGACAAGGGCTGTTCAGAAAAGCTCCCTGTGAGAAGCACATAAAGCTGATTGCACTGTTTTCAGGTTCAGAATAGATCTGCACAAAATAAAGGAAATAAAAAGTGATATTCAATAAACCAAGAAGACAGGATATGTGGAAATCAGGTAGTAGCATCATACAAGCAATCTTGCTTCCTGCTGTCAGTGTTTTGATTGAAACATGCTCATGTAGTGGAACGAGATCTAGATTCTCCTTTAAATGTTTGCAATACTTTAATTCTGATTTGCAATAAATAATATGACTAATCCATGCTCCCTCTCATTGCTTTATGATTATCACTACCACTGCACATCTTGGCTGCTCTTAGCACTTACAAGGCTCTGATATATAGCTAAATGTTTCTGACTCCATCTGCTACAAAGAGAAGTGACACAGAAGTGCTCCCCAGCCATTTTATTGCAATTTAATGTAAATCTGTTATAATGCAGATGATGAAAAGTGCAGTGGCTTCCATGAATTCTGAAAGCTGAGATTGGGTTGTGGCTGCTGCGCTGCCCTCTGAAGATTTGCTGGGTTTAATTTTACATTGCACAGCCATTAGCTGACTGAGGTTCCTCACTGAATCACGCTGCCACAATACTTCTTCATCCTCCTCTTCCTTTTCTCCTCGCAGTGACCTCTTTCACCCAAGTTTTTCAGCCCAGTCTCTCATTGCTTTTATCTTATAAATTGTAACCTCCCAGTACATCAGAACACAGAGCCATGCAATTGACCCCTGCAATGGATTATTTTGTTAACTCTTGTTTGTGGGAATATCATAACATCCCTTCCAATTTGCTGTGGGCTCGTTGTGATTCTTGCTGTTGTGCAAAGAACAGATTTATCTTATCAGGTTGCAATGATAGTTTGCCTTTACCATGGCATCACGTGTGATCTTATTGCCATTGTGTAAAATAAGTGTTGTTAAATGTGTTCTGCGCTGGTTTGTTGATGGTATTTGTAGATGGGAATTGAGGTGATCACATTCTGTCATCCAGCATTAAGTGTAATTATACACTTATGTACACGCCCTTAGGCAAATGATATTTTCCCCCTGTATTTTCTGTAGATGTTACTGTTTGGAATCATAGAATTACCTTCAGTAGACTAATTAAACTGTGGCAAATTAGGTAAACCTAGAATGTAATTAAAGTACAGTAAAAACACCTGTAAATGATAATTGTTTCATTCCCTCAGGGAAAATGTGAAAATAATCTTTTTGATAGAGTAGCATATCTAGAATCTTTACACATGCCAACGACATGTTTGTCCTCAAGTAATTTGTCTAGAAGTAATTGATTGCAGTATTTTAAAAAATAGCTAAAAATAAGAAAAACATCCTACTTCCTTACAAATTTTTCACCTACAGACTGAGGAGTTACCCAGAGAAAAAATTGTTATCTATGATTACATTCTCCAGTCCTACTGACTGAATGGTGTAGAGGCAGAAGGGAAGGACTAATTAGACACAGGCTTCAGACTGGTTGAATTAGTAACAATGAGGATCATCTTATCCAAAATAATAATGCCTTACTTTGTAAATTCATGAACCTGGAATAAGGCAGAATGTGGTGTTGACTTCACCAACAATTTATTTTAAAGTATTTAAAGTTAGAGCATGAATTTTGTTGCATGGAATAATCTCTAGTGATGGTAGTCTTCCAAGCAAACTTTGTGTATTGTCACTGCAGATGGCGTTTTCCTTTTGTGTATTGTCATCCCCAGAAAACTGATGATTTTGAGTGAAGACTTTGGTGTGGATGTTTACATAAAATCTTTATTCCTAATGCAAATAAAATTTAAAGTAGTTTTTTGAACCTTAAAAGGCTTGGGGGTTTTTTTCTGAGTGAAACTGACTCCTTTGCAACCAGTTCTAAAAGAAACTCTGCAAACCTCTGAAATGCAAATTTATTGAAATAAAACAACCCAGTCACCTGTCTCCTTGTGCTCTTGCAGCAAGGTGACTACCAGAGGAATAATTTCACATAAAGCTTTCTCAAGTGTTTTTCCTTCATCCTTCAATTGAAGGTATGTATTTTTTTATTAAAACTGATTCTCAATTTTAATAATTTATTTCCTTTCTTCTTTTCATTACAGAGAAAGTCCATTGTTGCTGTAAGTTTCATTGCAGCATTCCTCTGTCTGATCATTGTTCGTCTCACAAATGAAGTAACTTTCCCTTTGATCCTTAACTGCTTTGGACAAACCAGAGTCAAGTGGATCCCATTTTCTAATGGCCAAAGGCAGCCTCTGAAAACTCATTATGGATATATAAATGTGAAAACACAGGAGGTAAGACCTGATTTTTAACAGCCTGGCAAAATGGACCAGTAGATTTCATTTTCTCTGATCCCATCTAATGCTTTTTAACAATCTGCCCAGTGTAAAAACTGAACAATGGTGTTTCTGAGCAAAGTGGCTATTTTAGAAGTCTGCTACCACTTAAACGACCTTTGAAATATTTAAAATTTTTGTCATGTCTGTAATGGAGAGGGCAGTGAACTGGCCTCAAAAACACCGTCAACTGAGTGAAAACTTATTTATTCAAACAAGAAAATATTTCAAATTAATTTCCATCCTTCAATCCCTCTAATGCAAAAGGAAATTTTCTTGTTTGTTGTAAAAAGGTCCTAAAAATGTTTCATTTTGCCTGGGCTTCCCAAAGAGGTTGTTTGTATGGGCATGAAAGAGGAAAAGGGAGAGATTTGTGAAATGAGCAAATGTGAGTCCAGTAACTGTATAAAGCGGGAGGTTTACTGGATTTTTCTGGAGGTGTTGCATTAATACTTGATAGCTATTTCAAAGCTAGGTATGTATTTGCATTCTGTACTTTAAAACTCACTAATATGTATCTGCTTTGCAAAATACTTGCTGTCTGATAAAAAATACTTGTCTTATGAAATTAGGTTTTACAGGGACTCCTGCTTTAAAGTGTCTTAGTTGTCAAAATTTCTACAGCCACTGTTGGGTTTTGGTGGTGGTGGTGCATTTTCTTCAGACTTCCCCGCCCTCTTTGTAATATTTGTAAAATGGAAACTTTCAAAATAAGGTAGCATAAAAAATGAACTCTTTCTATAGTTTCTATAGTTTGAAAATGAAAAAATGAACTCTTTCTATAGTTTGTGATCAGTCATAGCACTGTCAGTCATGAAAAATACTATCAGACTTTCACTAACTGCTAGTTATCTTTTTCTATAAAATTACAGTTATTAATGAGTGAAATTCATTCACATAACATTTACAGAGAATGAAAATACTTTATCACTTCATTATATTTAGTCCCATAAGTGTATTGAACTAGTTAGTTATTATCCTTGCTTTAGTGGGTTAAATATGAAAATCAGAATGAGAGAGAGGTGGTTTTTAGGAGGCAGCATATTTTAAACATATATAGCTTTTAATCATTGTTCCCATAAGATGCAGCACTATTTTGGAGGCTAAAGTACATTATCTATAAAGCAGAAAAAGGACAAGCATCTGAAAGGAGAACTGTTCAGATGTGAATTGCAGTCCCAGTGAAAGGAATGGGAGGTGCTGTAGAGCTCAGAAGGGTTAAGGCTTCATCCCTCTAGAAATGAGAGGGCAGCGTGTTCTGCATGTCCATGGGTTGTTGCCACAGTGGCAGGCGTGGAATCTGAATGAGGCAGAGCTGCCACGGTCACTTGATCACTATCAGTCTGAGCTGATAACTGGAGAGGAGAGGAGCATGCTAATCCATTTTTATTCACCATTGCCTTCATCAGAGGTTAGAAGTGGTTTGTGCGGGCCTTAATTCATTCTTAAATTTGATAACACGCTTGGAAGTTCTAACAGTAAATGGAAATGAATGTCCTGAAACTGGTGACCGATATTGATTCATAAGACATTTGTCTTAATTTAGCTTAGGTCATAAGGACTCCTTAAACTTAGTCATTTTAGTTGTTTTCCCTGTTGTATTTGCAGATTACATTAATATTTGCCAATTAAAATTATAATGAAGAATCTGAACATGGCTTGCTTTTTGTAAATGCACTAACTTTTGACTTAATTGTTCCCTGTGTGAGGGAACTTTTGTTGTGATGCTCATGTGAAAAGTTTTTGCATAGCTCATGTTCCTAAGTCACACCCATAGCTTTCTCAGACTATAATTTTTAGGGTACATCTTGCTTTGTCAAATAAGCATTCGTATACTATTTCTATGAATATAACCAGAAATTCTGAATTATTAATTCCTCTATTCCATCAAATACATTGAATTTCTGCTAATTTAATAAAATTAAGGTATTTTCCAGGGTTTTTTTTGTGCTGCTGTGGTATGTATGATGTGCAGAAAAGTTTACTCTGTGAGATGAGCTATTGCCCCAAATATATGTGGCCAAGTTTTTTGTAAAATGGGATGATTTCTCATCAAGGACCAAATGGCATGAGGAAATAATTCTGCAATGAATTATCAGAAAATAAAGTGATGGAGGGAAGATAGGAGAGAAGGCTTTTAAAGATGTGAATTTTGGCTTCTTCTCTTTTATTGAGGGAATCTTTGCACCTGCTGAATGTGCTCTTAATTCTCCTGGAGTGTCCTTTGAATCCTATCTCCCCACTGGTGTCTCCTGCTGTCTGATAGCACTCCCTCCTGTTCCTCAGCCACTTCTAACATCCTTCTTTTCTTCACATTTGTTCTCTGTTCTCCTTTACTTGTTCCTCTCAGGCTGCACTCCAAGGTCTGGCTGCATGCCAACTCCTTAGTTACAACTCCTTGTACTTAAATGCACAAGGTCAACAAACCAGAGGAATTAGGGTAATTTGCCACCAACCCAATCACTCATCTGAAGTGACAGGGAAGCTAGAAAAGCTAGAATGAACTTCTCTACCTTTTCTGTCTCTCTCTTACATATTTACTTTCTGAAGAAAAAGGAAAACCAAACCAAACCAAAAAAGGCCCAACCTCCCAAACTTTTCCATAGAAATAAAACTTAGGAGGAGCTGATTTTTTGGGGGTAAGGCTGAGTGGGATGAGACTTGAAAAATCTTATGAGATGATGGAAAATCAATTACTTGGTTAAAGGGGTAGTGATCAATCATTTGTATTAAAAAAGATCAGGAAATATGATGATATGAATATTAGTGTTTATCCAAGTAAAAAACAATGATGTGGCTGTTGTTAGGTATGATCAGAATAAGGCTGTAAAGACTTTTTTCAAGGATGTTGTTGTGTATTTGACTTGACACTGTAATATTGTGGAATTTTTGTTAGTAAAGAGTCTGAAAAAAATTTAAGATTACTAAAGCTAGATTGTGTTGGGGTATTTAATAGAAAATGCAAAGAGAGACATAACTTAATCTGCAATTAAGGCTGTACATAATACAGGGTTGTTGCTATGGTTTCCTTGATTTGTAGCCATAGCAACAGCTTTGGGAAAACTGTCTTTATGTACAGTAAATATATTAGATTTGAAATACAAATAGATGTGAAGTGTTGTATATACTGGGCCATTATGTCTAGACACATTTCAGTTTTACTTTGGAGATATTTCTAAAGTAGAGGATTCTTCACCTAGAAAATTTGCATCCAAAGCCCACCCTCACTCCCCTCAGTAGGAAAGGATCTTGTAGTAGCCTTCCATGGTGTGATCTCTTTTCCCTTTTCAATATCCATATCCGAGGTGACTCCTTGAGATTTGTGGGAAACTATGCCTGTCTGTTTTGCAATATTGCTGTCTCACTCAGTACATGAATTTTGACCTTTCAGTGAGAAGGAGGTGTATGAACAAGATGACCTTTCTTTCCCTTATTTCCTCCACTTTGTGGAGGGTTTTTGGTGAGCAGTCCCATGAAATCTGTCTTTAGGAAATGTCATGCCTATCATGTGTTAGTTGTTTTTTTCCTATTCCTGGTGATTTTTTTCATCGAAAGTATTAATTTGATACAAGTCCACAGTGGTTACCCAATTGAAACCTATTGGAATAAACTTCACCCCCACCCATGTCAAGCTGATGTAATGACTCTTCTTGTATATCAAAAATGGGGAAGCAGATAAAAAGAAGCAGGTAGAAAAAATATAACCTTCCTCCTTCTTTCATACCACTCCTACTCTACAAAGAGTTCTGGCAAAATTAATGAACATCATGTATTTAAATTGCAGCATTATGACATCAATTTAAAATCCATTAGCAGTTTGAAACTTTATGCTAGGCAAGTCTAATAGTGTTCTTGGATATTTGATTGTGCTTCCTGAAAGGTGAATATTGAATAGATTTTTACTCTACCGTCAGTATTAAAATAATATAGCATTTTCCTACATACGTAAAATCTGAAATATAGCTGCAATAACACTTGAAGCATAATTATAAAAGTATATTCAAGTACTGAACAAAGATTAAAACTGTTCTTGGAAAAGGGTAAGTTCTGAGATGACCTAAAATCCCTACATTAAACTGCAACTGTGAGATCTAATGGCTTCCTCTAAATGAATTCTGAGGGAGCAAAGAGCCTGTGTGTCGTGAGCATTGAAGAATCTTGCATTACACTGATGAGCACTAGATGAAAGGAATGTGCATTGTAGCACTTAAGACTTTTTAAAAATCCTGTCATAGCTGAAAAACTCATCAGTACTGTATTGATATTGAAGAAATACATTTGGATTATATTATCCCATACCATTTCATCCCTAACCTGAACAGACTTGGGTACAAGCATTAATTGCTCACCAGTTGTGGCACACACAGCTACAAACATCAGTGACTGGACTGCCTAAATCTGGTTCCTTTTTATTTCCTTTTTGCCAGAAGTTCTGTAGTAGAACTTGGCTGAAATGAGTGGAGGTTTCCACAAATGAAATGCCCCAGATATAAATACCCCAGATATGAATATTAAGGAGGCTACAGACCTTATGTGTTGTCCTTTTTATTATTCTCCTTTAAACACATTAAATTAGGTGCGCTTAAAAATCACCTGAAATACAGAGGAAAACTAATATAACATGCAGAAATATGGGTTGTGATGTGGTCTCTAGCTGTAAGATAAGGCACATACAATCTCAACAGTAGCAAAATAGTTGTCAACGTGTTATTAGATCATTAGATGGACTCACAGCAATCATGAGACACCACCTTCTTACAAAACATGAAAAACTAAATTAAAATTGCATAAAAAGCAAAGAATGGTATTTTTAAAATGTTTATATTTCCTCTCCTAATATGAGAAGTAAGAAAATTTTTTCAAAAAGACTGAAATAAGAAATATTATAAAAAATGGAAAGCTAGCAACCAACCTGGGAATATTTGTTCTGCCTGTTAGTAATGGATGAAAATGACACT